CCCCCCCCGCCCTGCTGCCGTTTCCCGGTGCTGACACCTTCCTTCGCCAGACCCTCCTGCCGCCGGCCCTCCTGCGTCCTTCCTGCCTGGCCCTGTCCAATGACCTGGCCGAGGCGCTCCTGCGGGCAGTCGGCCTCCCTCCCTTGCTTGTCCCCTACCCGACCGGGTCCCCGGCCACCGGCAGCGGCGGTCCAGGCAGCACGACCGCCGGGGCGGCCGACCGCCGGACCCCGCGCGCCCGCGCCCCCGACCCCCTGCTGGACTACTGGTCGGACGAGGATTTCTACGCCGGCGACCCGGAGGGCGATCTCCTGGGGCCGGATGTGCCGGAGCGCGGCCTGGCCGAGCGCTACATCCGGGCCATGGGCGGCGCGAGCACCGAGCTTGGGCCTGGGGCCGGCGGGACCGACCCCCGGCCCGGGGTGGCCCCCGGCGCGCCCGACGATCCCCCGGGCGACCCGCTGGCCCTGGGTTCGCTGCTCGGGTCGGATGCCGTGGCTCGGCTTCGGGCGTCCGTCGAGCAGGCCGGGGCCCGTGGCGCCGGGGGCTTTGTCCTCCGGTCGGACTTTGCCGACATGTGCTACTGGATGCTCCAAGTCCTGGCCGTGTGTCAGAATGCCTCCACCGTGCAGGCAGACCCGGCGCTCTTGGCCCTGGCCGGCGGGTACGTCCCCCTGGGGCCATGCCCAACGGCCGGGGGTCCGGCCGGCGCCGGCGCCACAGCCGCCGGGTCTCCGCCCTTCGCCCCGGTCGATGGCCCGGCCATCGTGCTCCTGCGCGACCTCTTCCGGTCGTTGGTCTAGTGGTCGCGGTCGGGAGCTGCCAACGCAGCCCGATCGGAATACATCCGCCCCGGTGCTGGAAGCATGTCCCTGTCCAGGGGGGGGGGGGGGGGCGCGCGCGGGGTGCTCGCGCGAGGGGAAGGGGATTCTACTGTGGCATGCATGGGGCAGGGGGGGGGGGGGGGGGGGCTAAAGGCGCGAAACACACCCAGAAGAGAAGCAGAAATTTAAGGGGGGGCGTCCCCGGGAGCTCGTGGGCGGTCCCGGGGGCCAGCTGCTTTCCCGCGTTTCCCCCGTGCCTCTGCTCGTGCTCCCGACCTCCCCTTCCCCCCCCCCCTTCTCCCGCCCCGCCCAGTGCGCGTGTGCCTTCTTC